CTTCTCAGATGCACTGGCAGAAGCTCAGCAGGGGGTGGTAGAGCCATTGTCCATAGTGGAGAAGAACTGCGGAGAGGTGGCACTGAGGGATGTGGGCAGGGGGGCAGGAGTTGACAGCTGGACTAGATCTCAGTACTCTTTTTCAACTCTAATGATTCTATGACCCTCAGCTCTGCCCTGATGTATGGAAGCAGCACAACACACTTGTTTTCATAACAGGTGCACTGTATACCCAGCTCCTGACTTTTCACTTGATTTCCCTCATCTGGACATCCTACAAGCAACTACTACAATCAGCCAAAACAGCCTGCGAAGGCCAAATTGAAAAGGCAGCAACCTCTGCAGAAAACGTTGACAATGCTGGTACCAGCTTGCACCTCATCCATAACAAACCATGTAAGGGATGGTCCTAATCACCCAGTAGAAGTTCAGACATAGGATCATCAATCTCTTCCAAAAGCTCCTAGCAATGTAAGTTCAGATGTTAGTTAAGCTTTAGGTGAAAAATAAAGGGACAAAACTAACTAAAATAAAGCACCCCTGTAAAGCAATTCCAACCAATAAAATGTATTTTTGGGAATTGCCTGAACATAGAACAATAATGATAATAAATATGTATTGTAATATTGAATTACTAGTAAATTCGACCCACTGTTTAGTTTTATCAAAACCTTTGGCATTAAGTCATTTCTGTTAAAAATAACTCTATCTTCATAATTCTCATCAACCTTGACTGCTCTATGCAGACATCACTGTAATTTGCTCGCCAACTGCAGGACAGCTGCCAATGAATACAGAAAACCAACACTTTAAACTAGAGAGAAGACATCAGGAACCTGAAGAACACTGAGGACCACATTCTAGCTGCATATCCTCAGGTATTCATTGACAACAGGAACTTTACCACAAGCTAGCCAAGAAACAATCCCCATGTGCCTGTGTGGCTCAGAACCACCTTAGACTGGTGGTTCTGATTAGGTGCAAATCTCACTGAGGGGGATGAAAATGGTGCCCACTGTCACCAAGATTCAATTTGATCAACGATTATTGAGATTCACCACATAATGCAGGGAAGTGTTAAGTACTGACTTCTTCAAAGCAAAGCAAGGTGTTATTATGATGGTAATTTGTACTTACATTGTAGCATTTGCCAAAGATCTTAAAGCATCTCTACAGGCATAAATCAGTCTCTTTGAGAAGTATTTGTCTGTTGTTATAGACATTATGTCAGACTGGAAAACTACAACACAAAGAAGTTACACTAAGCATGAAATTTCACTCCTCTGCAAAAGGCCAGCCCAAAGACTCTCCTTAAGTCCCCCATAAATCCTTTAAGTAGGGCTTAATTTAGAAATTACACAGGATTAAGGAGGCGTATGGGTCTCATACTGGTCCTTCGGTACCTGAGTCAAATGTACCCATGTAGATCAGTAAAAAAAAAAAAAAAAAACAAACCTAAAAAGAAAATCTATGTATCCCAACTTCAGTTCTGAGCTTAGTATTATCACACTGCACAGACATAAAAACAACCAACAAAAACTGAGGTGTTTTTTTTTTTTTTTTTTTTTTTTTGGAGAACCCAGTGCTCACTCTGTCCCTAAAGCGCACAATTTTGCAGCCAAACCAACCATCCCACATTACAAAGCAGGTATGTCATTGAATTTTTGTTCTATACACAACTTGCATAGTTATTTACCACTTGATCCCCTTACTTTATAAATAAATCAGCACAAGGCAATCTCTACCCTGAAAGCATTTTTTGCATGTGTGCAAATTTTTACATGGCTAACGTTCTGCTCAATAATATTGCCACCACAGTCCTTGATCTGTCTACCTCAGTTTTCTCTCACAACTCAATTCGCTTTCTCAAAATAAGAAGCTACCCCCAACAATAGGCTAGACCTGAATTCTTTCCAACATATGTGCCCACAGTTACTTAAATACAAACCCTCATTTGATGTGTTCTTCAGTCAGAATTTATTTAAAATAGCTGAGGCCTGTTACAACTTAGAGACTATACAGCTGTATTTCTGTAGCATCATGTGCAATGGGAATTGAGAGTCTGAACAGTTTTAAGTAATTATGTCACTCATTAAAGCAATGACAAAGAAAACCTTGTGCTGGCTACTCAACAGTAGTCTGATGACAGGGGAAATTTCTTTTTTTGTCTGGTGATGTTAAGCAGTCGTCATCCATCCTATATTACTTTGTTAAGATATGCCAGGTTTCTGAATACACTCTTGGCTATTCTAATTTCATATCTAGTTCTTCTTCACAAATTAAAGTAGCTGACTACCTTAATTACTTGTAGAGAATGCAAAACAGGCTTAGTTGTTGGTTTTCTTTTTGTGATGTTGTTTTTTAATTTGTTTGATTCACACAAAAACCTGTTGAATTAGAGATTGCATTTAACTCTAATACTAAGCTCCGTAGCCAAATGCAATCTAACACAAATACAAATTTTGCCTCATCAACAGCTTTATCGCTAGGATTATGTTTAACTGTTTTTCATCTTCTATTTAACAAAGAGAAAACCCACTTCTTCCCTCCTCCATGCTTTATTACTGTCACGCAGACCCATCATACATGGAAAATAAACATTTTCAGCTGGAAAAGGAAGTTGGAAAGTGACAAGATGTCTTGTTGTAATGTACCACCTGAGATATTTTGCACAGTCATGTTATGGCTAAACTATAGATGAGAGAACAGTACACAATGAAGCAGTGATGCTCCATGGCTGGCTGGTATTTCAAATCCTTAAGATGCTGCAGCAGTTACTGTAGATAAGAACTTATGCCACAGAATTGATGTTTCTAGAGGGATATCTCATAGGTAAACAGCAGTAATTTAAAACTGACTCACAGTGTCTTCTTTAGTAAAACATTTCAAGGGCATTACTCAGGAGAAACTTACAGGGATTGCTTGATAGTGGACAGGATGTCCTACTATCAGGTAGAATACTGGTAAGTTGGTCTTGCCAGAAATGTCACTTTAAGTTTTAGCAGGAGAGAATATTTCAAGTGACAGAGTACTGGGGTAGAACTGTCATGAAGGAAAAAATAATTGTGTCTATCTTATCTAGTTATATATTATACAGCCTCTGTGAGATACAACAGAGGTTTCATCTTTGCTTTATAGACTTCAGGGCAACTCAGGCTAAATCATCAGACGAGAATCAGGAATCTGAAAACTACAAAACTACGTGTAAGAATGTGCATACGCTTTACACACTGCATCACATGTTTCTGTGCAGAATGACTACTAAATTGCATGTTGAATTCTGCAAAGCTTTTTGCAAGGTGCAAAAACTAAGTTGTTTCAATACAGAAATTTTCCTAGGTTTTTTGTTTTATTCATTATAGTTTGGTTGTTGTTTTTTTTTTCTTTCTTTTTTTTTTTTTTTTTTGAATTACCGCATCCAGCCCTGGGGCCTCCAGCGCAAGGAAGATGTGGACCTCTTGGAGCAGGTTAAGGGGATGGGCATGAAGATGCTCTGAGGGCTGGAGCACTTCTCTTATGAAGAAAGGCTAAGGGAGCTGGGCTTGTTCAGCCTGAATAAGAGAAAGCTCCAGGGAGATCTCACCATGGCCTTTACCTAAGGGAAGCTTATTATCAAGAGAGAGACCAACTTTTAACATGGGCAGATGGTGATAGGCCAAGTGGGAATAGTGTTAAACTAAAAGAGAAGAGATTTAGATTAGATAATAGGGAAAAAATTTTCACCCAGAGGATGATGAAGTCCTGGCACAGCTGCCCAGAGAAGCTGTGGGTGCCTCATCCTTGGAGACGTTCAAGGTCAGGTTGGATGGCACCTTGGGCACCTGGTCTGGTGGGTGGCAATTCTGCCCACAGCCAGAGGCTGGAATTAGATGGGCTTTAAGGTCCCTTCCAACCCAAGCCATTCCATGATTCTATGTTTACAATTCATTATTATACAATCAACTGAAAAAAGAGGCAGTCCAGATGCTCCCAAAACTCAGTGATATTGTATTATGTTTAAAATGAATGCTATTCTCAAGAACTATAATAAAAGGCATAGAGGTCCCACAGTTATTCCATAAGTACAACATACAGGGGCAGAAAAAAGTGGTTTCCAAACAAATTCTGTTAGGCGAATACACTGCTATAAAGACGAATCAAACCCCTACGTTCTATTCTACCATGAAAGTTCAAGACACGTTATGCTTCTGCAGTATATGGGTATGAAGAATCTAGCTCCATCTACACTGTTATAATTCCTTACTAACAATAGTGCCCTGCACAAAAAAACAATTTATACTAGTGTGATTTCTTTAATGTGACGCTATGGGAAAATAAGCCTTGAAAAAAACCTCACAGAAACATAAAGCATGACATCAGTGTTTAACCCTGTGTACATTTACTGTTCAGCTTTTGCCTTGACTCAGGCTCCACAGGCAAGAAGTACAAATTCTGTTTTTCTGTATAAATTGGTAATCAAAGGCTCACATCTTCAGTCTCTTCTAGCTTCATTTAGTGCTCACATTTTCTCTATATCAACTACTTTGGGATCTTCACCTGATTTAAGGTGGTACAAGACATTCTCATACCTCTGGATGCTCCCACTACACAATTGCTTCAATTTAGCATGACATTTCTAATGCAGTGTACAAAATGGAACATCGATGAAACGTTTTCAACCTCAAGAAAACCAACTCTATTTAAATAAAGAGTAGGAAAGTGCTTGGTGAGAGATACGTTGTGGAAGTTTATCCTTTGGGCACAACTTCAAGTTTCAAAGTGAGCCCACTTGACCTGAGCACAGATTTCAAGATGGAAGCATTATTTCTCTATGCACCGGGTAACGGCAAAAACAAAAATTGCATTTATTTAGTGCATGCTGTCATTATACATCCCCTGATGTCTCTAATGCTGTTCACAGCACAAAGCTGTAGCCACCTCTGTCAATGGTAATAAGCATCTCAGTCAAAAAACAGATTATCTTACACAACTGCACTCCTACAGGCTGGGCTGCGACTCACCTATGAGAGAGGGTGGGTTTCATGGAGCTCATAGAGTTCATGGGGGGTTGCATTGGGAGCTTCCCTGGAGGATCGTTCTGCCGGCTTTTCTGGTGGCGAAGCAGCAAAAGCCGTCCCAGCTCCTCACACCACGACGAGAGCAGCGCTGTGCAATCAGAACAAAATGACAGTAAGTGCACATCAGAATAACCGGTATAGCTGAGTGCAGATGCAAGCTGCTATAACAAGAGCCACAAACTGAACAGACAAGCCCCAGGAGTGAAAAGTTCGTCCACGAACCACCACTCACATTATTATCCTATCAAATTGAGTCTGTAATTGCACTACGCTATCATTATAATGTTTTTACACAAGTTACAAACAGTCTGCACAGCCCAGGAGGCACGAGAGAATTTGTCTGAGCTGAGCAGCAAAGAGATAAATGGATGAGGCGCAAGGACATGGGGTAGCTGTTGTGGGTGAAAAAAGGCACTGAAGAATTCGTTTCACACTAATAGAAACGTAACAAAAACATGCAGAAGACATCATTCACAGAGGGGAGCAGTGGATAACAAGATCTCTTTTCTGTTTGGCTATTTTTGTGCTAAAGCTTAATTGGAGAGGCATGAAGAGGAACCCATGTGCTGGAATTTCCAAAACTGCCATTAGCTACCAGTCCTGAATAGATAAACATGAGAATAGAGCCGCACTAATGCGGGTAAGGTATACAGAAGTTAGGTACTTCCATCTGCATTTGAACCAGCATAACCCCTAAGTGCTTATCTCCATTATGTGACTAATCTTCTGGGCAATGACGGTGCTTCAGTGCTTACAGGAACATCATGCTTATGAATGATGACAGGCAGATATTTCCTAGAGAGACTAAAAGCTTGCAACTCCCTCAGAAGACATGAAAGGGTTCATTATCTCTGAAAATGTGACCTTTTCCTTAAGCACCCACAGACAGAGAAGACCAGCCCCTCTTACAAAACCGATGTAATCTGGAGTAACCAGAGCTTGAGAAAGTGACTGCGAGTTGGGTCTGGCTGTGACGAGACACGGCTTTGCAAGCAACCACCAGTGGCATGGCTGAACCACAGAGCTGCCACAGTGCCAGCAGCAGGAGTGGCTCCGTTGGGCAAGACATTCCCAGGGTACAGCATGGCAAAGGGCTCCACCAATGAGATGCACATGAACTGAACTCTGTTCTGCAGCTGAAGAAGCATTTCCAAGTGGAAGTGCTTGGGGATTTTCATCCTGTAAAGTGTGCTTTGCATAAACCTCATCACAATAACATGCTTTGTGCTTGTATATTTCTTTAAACTAAGTGCTTTCCTAAGGTGGTATGAATGGAACAAATCAACAGATTGTGCAGGCAGGTGAGAACCAGGAGGCTGCTTAAAAAGCAAACTGCCATAGCAGCTTTAAGCAGGAGAGCTCTACATGTAACTTCAGGCTTGCCACTTTAAAAGAGCAAGAGCAGAATTCTCCAAAATTGAGGCTTTTAGTTTCAATTCTTATCTTTTTCTAATGGTTATCCCCTAGCCCAGTAACAGAACCCCAAGCAGCAGCCACCTTTCTGTTGCAGAGGTCCTGTTAACCAGCATTTAATAGAGCAAATTCCAAAGGGACTAATTGTGAAGTCATATTTGCAGGGGAAAAAAAGAACTTGTTTTGCCAAGAACGCCCACAAATATGATTTTTCAGTCGGCAAAACAATTGGAATTTCTCAAGCTTAATGGCCACACAAGAAAAATATTTTAAGCCAGACTATTCCTGTGAATTAATCACACATTTGGACAAAGGCGATGCAATAAATTCCTTGCATTTATCAAATGGAAGGTCAGCAGTGGTGTTCAGGGAGGCATTTTAGAGCTCTGCTTTGACAGGAAGGGGACACCGCTCCTTTATGTAACCAAATACAGGCACTCCAAAATGGTTAGCCTAGCATGCAGCCTCCAGAGTGTTCCCCCGAGCAGTGTGAAATGCTCCAGCAATGAGTGCCAGCCTAAGCTGCTTCTCTACTAGCCAAGGAATCTGTCAACAAGCATCTGATCACATTACACTCACCTTTCATCCCTGCCCTACCACTACTAACATGCTCCCCTTTTCCAGCTGCCCAGCGACACGGTCACAGCGTGGCACAGCTGCTACCCACACCACGGCCACTGGAGCATTGCAGGCAAGCACCATGCTGCTGCACAGCAGTGCAGCCATGTCGGAGCAACAGGGGATGAGCATCCCCTGAGCATCACCATGCCGAGTGCAATTACTGCAGCGTCAAATGGAAATCGCCCATCTTACACACGGCTTTGATGCAAACAGGGCATTGCTCCTTCCGTACACGTAGGCACTTGACAAATAAGATAAAAAGAAGCAACCTAATGGGGCTGAGGACATGAATCTGCAAACAAAAGCCATACCTGCTTTGGAAAAAAGCAGAGTAACCCTTGGAAAAGGAATATGCCAGTGAGATAGCATTGCTTTGGTGAGGTGGAGATAAGGGAAGATCTTAATGAGTTATTAATATTACTAATATCTAACACACACATTTATAAAGGTGAAATGTGAACTGTCAAAGAACAAAGAAGCCCTCAAGATAAGCCAGACAGTTACATTCTACAAGTTATCTGGAGAAGACTCCTGTTTTCAGAAACCAGGATACTGCGGGTATAGAACGTAACACATTTACTCATCCCTATCATAGCACTCATTACTGAGAGGTTTAACCTTTCTCCCTGGGGACATCTCGACTCATGTACCACGTAGGATAATCGCTCTCCTCCTGACATTGGTGTCTGCGCAGCAAAGAAAGCAGACCCTGCCCAGAGCTCCCAGTCCACCAGCACCACGCTGCCCCAGCCAGACAGGAGCCTGCTGCCCTCCCCACGCTGCCATGAGCTGCTGCGTGCTCGGTGTGTAGGGGGAGTGTGCACCTCACATCTGGTACAGCTGCCTTCTGGAGAACATTACTTCCTCTGCTATTCAAGTCAGATGAAACAAACTCAAAATGAATTTACAGATTACACTATTCATCTTTAGTGTACTTAGTTACTGCTTTTTATGCTGACAGTATTGGGCACATCTCAACTCATTTACACTCAAAGCACGAGAAATTCAGTATCGTACTATAATGAACAGATAAAGCAGCAAGCACAAAGGACAGCTACAGATGGTGCCAACAGTCAGTCTCTCCCTCTCACAGCACAGCCAAGCAGCTGCTTTTTCTCCCCCCTCTGCCCCTCCTTCTTGCAACAGGAGCACAGATTTTGCAGATGGACCATCCACACCATCTCTCACAGCCTCTCACTGCGGCACTTTAATGATCAGATTTAAATCGTGTTCCTGTGCTGCACTGCTACAATGTCCCTTGCATATAATAACCCAGCTCTCCTGCCTAAGTTGAAGTCAACTGTTGCAAGGAGGAAACAAAAATCCTTTAAGCGTGCACCCCCTCGCTCCCCTGCACACAAACAAATGCAGAGCATAGCCTGGTTAATTCCCCAGAACTGACATTTTCAGCCAACGTGCAGACGCAGAGGGCTTTGCCAGCTCATGCCAAAAGATGCATAATAATGGCAATCAAATGACGTGCTGACAGTTTAAGTGTATTCACACATTTATTTTGCTTAAAGGGACATGCTCTGAGCTGATTGGTGCGATATTTGACCTACTTTTCTCCATTTGGAAAACCTGTATCATTCTTAATGGGATTGCATTTTACTTCAAACGTTGATGCATTTTCATAGGAATAAATCAATACCGATTTGCTGGGAACGACTGTGTTAGGGAACCAACACAGAAATGAGCAGCCTCTGGTTTTGCACTTGTGAAACGGAGAAAAACAGAGATTTAAAAATGAGAGAGATTCCAATTTCAACTTGCCAATGAGGTTTCTAAAGGAAGCAAGAAAAAGAATTTAAGAAACCGTTTCTAGGCGTTCAGCTCCCCACAGTCAGCTTGTTGTTTTGCCTGTCTCCAGAGAAGGGAGGTGCTAGTGCCTCCATGCAGTGTAGGCTGAGCTCTCCCCACCACACTGACAATACCCCACATACCACAGCTGGCCACACTGTGGCCTTCTGGGTGCCTTCGGTATTTCTTAGTGCTTTCACTGAAAAATCACAGAGTAACACTGCGATGTGTGCACTGAGAGCCTGGGGATGGAGAATGGTGGAAGGCAGAAGATCTTTTTCCTTTCTACTTGAATGACATTTCCAAGCATTTCTTTGCAACCGCAGAGCTAAGCTTTTCTTCAAAGAGAAAGGAAGCAATCGTTATTTAATCCCCTGCCTCCAGGAGCCAGGTGCTTAGGAATGTGCCAAATATCACAAGATGCGCAGCACCATTATTCGGGCTGGCAACACTGCCCAACATTGCTCATCTTTTGCTAGGGCCCTTTGGAGCCGAAGACCTGTCACTTGGAGACAAAGCAGACCTCTCCAGCACACACTTGACGAGGTGCTCCCATCGGCCAGGCTTTGGAGGGGAGGGAAACCATGCCTCCCACCCAGGCTGCCTGCACGTTTCCTTACTTCTTAGTGACAAAGGCTGCCAGTGTACTTGCATTCACAAAGCAACAATTACATGATGAACGATGATGGCGTGTCGTGAAGAGTAGTTTATAGTCCTGGCATTGAATATTGGGTATAGTCCATTAGAATCCTTTTTGGGTAGGGGAACAGAAAAGGAAAGGCAAACAGGCTAAGCAATCAATGCTACCCGATAGATTCCCTAATGCATTTCATTAGCTGGATACACACCACCGTCGATAGCTACAATCCTGTAGCTGACTGATTTAACTCAGCGCATCGCAAAGTGCTGCAGTAAGCATCTAGGAGCGAATGAGCCAGTGGGCTCCCTAGAAAGCAAAATACAGAGAAGCATGGTGTTAATCTATTTACCTATTATGATACCCTAGTATTAGTTACAGCTTATCACCTCAGTAAATCACTGCCTCTTGTTAGGGAATGTGCTTAAAGATGCAGCAAACTGTTATTTACAGGCAGACACTATATTTACAGCTACAAAGACAGGTGAGGAGGGGATAGGACAACAGCTCAGTAATTTCAATGCCTTCTGCTTCCCAGGAGACTGCTGTAGGAGCACAATAGGATTACCGTTTTCTTGCTGCAGTTAAGCTGCAGCAGATAGTTCAATAGGCAGGCT